ACAACAATTTCACACCGTGTGCAAGTTCAGTTTTGCTTTGGCACAATATATAATATTAACTAAGAACTAACCAACAAATGAGCGGAGTCTAAAAGCTAAGTTTACAGTGTGCGCTCTAAGTTTTGTATCTTTTTGACTGTCGACAAGACTCGCTGCATAAACAATGTAAAAGTTGCAGACATTTTGTAGTTTTGTTAAGGTGTACCGCTGACCAGCAAAATACTGTATCGCGCCCCAGAAAACGTATTTCCGCGCTGTCGACGTCTACCCAGGAAGATCGAATATCTCACGTCCTCTGATTTCCTTCAGGATGGTGCAATACACATTCGAAAAGTGCGCAGAAATGCCTTCCAGAAGTGGTATCGGCTGTTGCAGCAATATCCTAGATCTAAAAAAAGATATACTGTACAATTTACTAGCGATGATGGGTCAATGGTACAATAAAGACATAACGATGGTTGATTTTGTTGAACCGAAACACGCGAACTGAGTCTGTGAGAACCATTGAAGAACTCTCACTGGAATTTGTTCCGCAGACTGTCAAACGCTATTTTCAAAATTTTCTGCTTAAAGCCGACGAGCAATTTGTCGAAATACTACCGACAACCTATATCTTCCAGTCCCGCAGTATTTATAACATAGCCGGCAAAGTTGTGTGATCAATCCAGAAGCGTTACGACCAAATATCAGTGATGTGTAAATAGGTCGCAACTGAACGCCGCCAACCAGCACTTATTTCTCGTTCTATTTAGATTAAAGTCGAAGATTAATCCTTTAGAGTTACATGATAACAAAATTGTTACACTCACAGAGTTTTTCAAAGGTTTGGAAATCAGTAGTGCGACAAACATTCTGTACATTAGCGTCAAAAATATGACCGCGTAACATTATCTGCGGACCGCTCAGGGAACACATCCATTTCGCTTATCCGACGAATTTCACTGCAAACTTTGAAAAAAATTTACACTGGTTATTTGGAGTTATGACTAAAAACGTGCGACAATGTGAAATCGGTAATTGTATGAAATGTTTTTTTTACCCTGCTTCCTGTAGCTTCAAAAATACAGGTCCAAACAATTCTACGATTCTCAATCGATCGAAGCCAGTGTAACTGCAACACTTACGTCGCTCTTATAAACATGAAGCATTCCAGAAAGTAAAACACAAACTGGATTTAATAGAACAACCATACCTTGACAAAATACATTCTCGCTACGGACAAATGTAAACAGGTTATAAACACGCATGGGAGTCTTGTGTTTAGGTGACAAAATTACCATCCAAAGCAGTCCTTGAGTTTCCTTTCCTGATTTTCGTTTGCCTGCTCCTCCACTTCGTATCTAGCTTTCCATTCCTAATATACAAACAGCTCGTCCGTAAAGAAGTCTTTCCCGTCGCAGCTTGAAATATAGCAAATTGTTCTCAAAGTTCTAAGCAGTGAGTTCACAGTTATTGAACGTGCTCGATCGAAGTTTATTTCGGTGTCTTGCGAATCGAAACCTAACTCTGACTCCAGTGACGAAAAAGAAATGCTTCTGAAACAAAACTTGGATATTTCAGTCCCAAAATGTATTGGAACGATTAGTTTTGTTTTCCATTTTCTCGAGCAAATACAGAGAGCTGACTGAGGCACCATTGTGTTTGGTTCCTGGGTAGACGTCATCAGCAACCGCCGTCCCAGACTCCTTGAAACGCGGTCGTGTAACACTACAGGCGCGACTTTGAAAGGGCATAGAAAATCGAGGATTCAACAAATTTCAAAATTTTTTTGCCCAAATGCTTCAAATAACAAGTGGATTCGTTTTAGCAAAAAAAAAAAAATTAGGGTTAGGTGCACTTTAAGGTTAGTATTGATGCAAAATCATGAATGTCAAGTACTTTGGTTAGAGGAATTCTATAAGGTCTACAGTTAAGACAAACTCTATAGAAAAATCACCAGATCAATTACTAAAAGTTGAATCAAGCCTGAAATTACTGCTCTTACCCGTCAGTCAGTCCATTAGGCCATCACTCAGTCTGTCGGTTCATCCTTTCATCAGTCAGTCAGTCCCTCTGTCTGTCTGTCTCTCTGTCAGTTGGTCGGTCAGTCAGTCAGTCAGTCAGTCAGTCAGTCAGTCAGTCAGTCAGTCGGTAAGTCAGTCAGCCAACCAGTCAGTAGAGAAATAGATTCAACAAAGAAACATTGAACTAACCATCAAGGACCTCATAAATAAGGACAAAGTTGTTTTTGATTCCTTCTTCAGTGACTTTTCCAAAGTAAGAAATCATAATCTCCACTGTGCGATTGAGGAACTCAAACACCATGGCAGCATTAACATTCTGCCTTGTAACAGCAGCCAGCCAGATATTTTCCTGTTGTATATGGAAGAAGCTTGTTCTAGCAATGTTTGTAACTGGTGACCTTACTTGGCCTCTTGCATGGATGACGTTTACCCGAAAAGCATCCACTGCATTTCGGCTGAAAATGAGCACAGTGAAAAAGTTGACAAAAGCAGTGAAAAGTAACGTGGAAGGTTGAGATGCGTAGTTCTAAGTCAGGCTTAATTACCCACTGCTGTCCTGGAAAAGAGCCCATTCTCCTCTTCCCCTGAATGTACAGATGTACTCACATGTATAGTATCATTGACTTCAGCCAATTAGAACACTACCTGCAGGCATTTGCCTAGGCATGGCAGTTTGATTACTCTGACCAAGGGCACCCAAGCAAATTCTTGCCAAATTCATATATACTTTTTGAGTGTCAAAACCAGTACCATCAGTTAATCACTGCCACTTACTTAGATCAATGAGATCTATGCCATAGTCCCGTGACAAAACAATGATACACGTGTCAGTCGCTGATTGGGTTTTGAAGTCGTGAGAGGCACCACGCGCGCACGCAGACATGACGGGTGCTCGCTTTTGTTTGTTCCACCTCCAAAGTTCAAAATTCTTCCCAGACTAAAGTAGGCTCACCGCACATAGCTAGACAAGCAAAGCAATGGCATTAAATCAGCCACCCTTATGCTTGTTAACAGCACCTCGAGTGGAGAAAGTTTACATGGATCATGGCACCGGTGCACGCATGGACATTAGTGTGTTTCAAGCTGAAGTGAAGTCCATCCCTCAAGGCGCTTACATGGTCGGCCAAGTAGCTGTTCCCGCGCACACAAACGTTATCCCTCCATCATCTGTGATTCTCGTGTGGCCCTTGGTTCCGAGAGATGGTTCTGGCAATCTGATTATGCCACCGTCAGGTTACGAGATGGTTTGGAATGACAAGCGTTCGGGTGGCAAACAGGATGGTTCGTTTTGGCGCCCTCAAGCTCCTTACGGCTACATAGCACTGGGTGATGTGGCTTGTAATGGCTACAATCCGCCTGCGGCTCAGTTTACAGCCAAATACGCCTGCATTCGCGGTGACTTGCTGTCTGAAGGAGCGCTGGATACTGCAGCTCTGTGGACCGATCAAGGCTCGGGTGCTCCAATGAATGTCTCCATCTGGAACGTGAAAGGCAACGGACTGGGTGGATTTTTCAAGGCTCACGCGGGTTACAACAGGCCATCTTGCCAGGCCTTCGTCCTGCCTGCCAAGGTTTCCAAGATGGCCGTGAAACAACCTAGAGAACAATATCACCCTTATCCTCAAGGTTTCGCTTATCCGCACTAGCTTTTATCGCGGACGATAGCTACAATAGGAATCTCGAGACTTTGTGATACATACATGCGGAAATGTTATGCTTAGAGGAAAAGCGATCCTCGTTTTATTACTTAATTGCCGGCTATGCAGTTACGTTTTAAATAATATCATCTCAGTTTTATTTCTAGGAATATAGATGTTGTTTTCGAGAAATGATTATTGTCTTGTCTTGTGTTGTCTTGTCTTGTCTATTTGCGCGCGCATGGTTTAGTTCAAATTCTCTGTTTTTCTGAGAAAAGGAACCTCGTGAGCGCATATTTTGAAAATAACGCCCTGAATCTCGACACTCAAATGATCCAGCTAAGTTTCCTTTTCGGCGAAGACGATAAATACCACCAGAACTGATTGTAGCCTTGCTATAGAACTGAACGGTTATTCGACTTGGTGGACATCCGCGTTATCACTTTCCTCTAGTAACACACTCATCAGTTACGGAAGTCATCTGAAAAAAAACATGGCTTCAAGTTTGTTGTTTTTGATCTGTCTTAAACCTCCTAATTCCCATCGCTGTCTTCAGCTAAACCACGATATTGATCTGCTTAAAGTTCGTTTACTGAAATAGTTGGCCCTTAAACGTTTGTTATGCAAAATGTGCACTGAAGTTTATCTCAGTGGCGTCTCGCGATCAATATGTTAATGTCTTAATTCTATTGTATTGTTAGCTCTATATGTATAATAATAAAGATCTATCTCAAAGTGTCAATCAGAAGTTTATTTTCAGTGACCCAGTTAGCCTTTTGAAGCCTTTAGATACGAATAAAGGAAAGAGTTTGTGGAAATATTAGCATAAACTAATCAATGTTTTCAGCGAACTGTTTGGCATGAAATCCGCACCTGGAAGAGAAAAGAAAAGAAAAAAAAAAAAACGCTCGAGGAAAGTAACTCGGTTATGATACGAAATACGCCTCTCTTGTATCAGGAACTACTCGGGCTGTGATTGGTCAATTTAGCGGGCCGTATTCTATTCTGATCGATAAGCCTTCCTC